CAAAACAACGGTAGGACCGTGTGATCATGCAACTCTGACGGGAAGAGAACAAGTGATTATGACTCGACTCAGAATAGGAATGTCCGATGTTCCAAATAGAAAGAAACTACTAGAATATACCTCAAGATTTGAAAGGACCTCTAGGACATCAAGTGAAAAATATGATTTGCTTCTCAACTGCTTTGAACCTTATGGAATTGTAACTACTACAGGTTTATGCGGTTGATTGTAAATAAAAAAAATAGCCAATGTATTCCAAATAATGAAACTTTCGAAGATGAATGAAACAAATGACATCTGATCAAACGATGGTATTGTTTTTCCAAATACGCCGACTGTTTACAAAATGAGGTAAATGTTCGAATTTCGCGGGCTAAGTATATTCGATTAGCGATTATTTTATCATTGTATGTTGGCACACTCGTATCGCGCATATACTTACAGTTCCAGCTATTTAGCATGTTGAGTTTGTTGGTGAGAGGCATAAAAGTTAGAAGTGTTCTGCGTGTTCGGCAATTTTCTGCTATCGAAAAAAAAATCGATCAAAGAATTTGCATCAAATTTTGTCTAAAAAATGTCGAGAAAGTGGTCGAAAACACTTGAGATGTTGACAGTGGCATACGATGATTGAACTCTGTCAAAAAATGTTCAAAGTTGTACAATCTTTTCACATAAGAATGAAAAATGTGAACAAAGTCGCTCGCCCTGGACGCCCCAGCACATCTGGAAAAGTGAAGAAAATTCTTATGGAGAATTGTCGAATCACCATAAGAGAAGAAGATGAGGATACCGGCATATCAGTTAACTAATTACATGCAACTTTTTTTCTATTTTTGGCATGAAGGGTGCGGCAGCAAAGTTGGTTCCAAACGTTCTGAATTCTGACCAAAAAACTCGTCGGAATTGTTGAATGAAGTCAACAGCAATTCAGATTTGCTTTGAAGGATTATAACTGGTGACCAATCATGAGTATATGGTTATGACATTGAAAACAAAGTTCGATGGTCCCAATGAAAGAGCCCAAGAGAGTCAAGACCATAAAAAGCACGACCAAATGTCAAGGTTTTGTTTATTGTTTTCTTCAATCACCGTGGCGTAGTGCATCAGGAGTTCTTGCCACATTCTCGTACGGTAGATGAGGAGTATTATCCTGAACTGATGCACCGCTTGCGAGAGGTAATACGAAGGAAACTATTTGCGTTGTGGAAAACAATTCATAGCTTTTACATCACGATAATGCACCTGCTCACTCGTCATTGCTTTTTCGTAATTTTTAGGCAAAAACAAGACAGTGATCATTCCTCAGCCACCGTATCCACCAGATCTAGCCCCCTGCGACTTTTTCCTGTTCCCAAGATTGAAGAGACTCATGGAAGAATGGCATTTTGCGATGATTGAGGGAATAAAAACCGAATCGCGGAGAGCTCAAGGACATACCATAAGGTGCATATCAGAACTGCTTCGAGGAATGGGATAATCTCTGGTACAAGTGTATCTGAGGGGGACTACTTTGAAGGGGTCCGAATAAAAATTAATGAATGAAATTATTTTTTGAGAGAAATGAAAATTAACCTTATTTTTTGAACAGACAGTTTATGTTAAAAATATTTTTCAAGATATCGTTATCAATAATAAAAAGTGAATTTTTTTCACTCACAGTTAGCTGAAAGAGAGAATACATGTAGATATTATATATTTGAGGTTGGGGCATATTCGCATATGGCTAGAAGACCGCTATTCGATTATTGGAAAAGTTTTTTCGATAATTCGTATTACAATGAACTGAAATTATATTGATGAAGCATGGATGACCATATACTACTCACCAGTTTACATTGATGAATAACGACGGATTCACTGCTGACATGTCTGCAATTATTGCTAAAGTGAAGGTGTCGCTACACACAATCTGATCCCTTCGAAAGTGTTCACCGTGAATATTTTTGAATCAGAAGAAAACAAAATTGAATATTTCAATTTGTTCGAAAATATCAAGCAACTTTATTGTTCTATTACTGGATTAACAGTGAAATGCCATTTAAAATAATAGGGGAGCCCAAGCGGGGATTTCGGGATTTACTAAAGTGCGGCAGATAATAATATAGGGGGATACCTTGTACCCGGTTAAGTACCTCCACCAAATATGAGTCCCATATATAAGGCCGCCTGTGACGGATAAAGGATCAGATTATTAAAAAAAAATTGATCATCAGAAATTCTCGAGCGCGACAGATTAAGGTAGGGTAAGTTAATTACCTGCTAAAAAGTGTATGTTTCAGTAATCTGACAATTTGAGAGTGACGTAAAGAAAGGGGAGGGCAGCAAAGTTGTAAAAAAATAACGTTATTTCGACATTCTCGAGCGTGGCTAATTTTTTTTTAATTTTGAAGGAAATAATTCAAGGATAACGAAAAATATATAATCTGACGATTTCCGCAAGCCGAAATAACAAAAATTCGTCGATGAAGTTCAATGCGTGCAGCTGTGCGATACCTATATTTCCCTCTCCGAGTTTCTATTCCTCTATTCTTCATTCACTTTTTCTCTATCTATTACTCTCTCACTCCGTCCCCACGCTGAATTCTGTTGCCATGACACCATCACAGCTGATCACAGAGACTCGTTCGTGATGAAGATGAAGATGATGAATAATTAATAAATTAATTGATGGATGTAGCCGTTACTACTTGGTAACTAACATTACTGCAGTTTCGTCCTATAAGGACATTTTCAAACTTTCTTTTTTTTGTTGCACTTAACACCCCTTTAGAAAATCTAACGCGCTCGATCAAATTTTTTTTCTTTTCACTTTCAACCCTTACGTACAACCACTCGCATCATGCAAACGATCAGATTAACATACGAACATTATTGAAAATACGTAGTTCATTGATGCTATCTATATCTGACGCGCTCGAGTATGTCCAAGCAACAGTATTTTTTTACATATTTAAAAATCTATAGCCGCTTCCCCCACCGAAGAAAAGGTATATATTACATAACATTTTTTTCTTCTTATCATCTTAGCGTTGCAACCTAATATGTCTCAATGACGCTCGAGTAAATCCCAATTTTGCATCGTGGGCTCCCCTGCTAAAATGACTATACGACTGAACATATTCTGACGATGACTTACTCAGAGACTATTCGGCATCTAGAAGTAGGTAAACAAGTATCTAAATCTCACTTTTTCACTGAAAATGTATTCTCTAGGATGGACTTTTTTCTGGTAATTGTGATAACGCCATAGGTTGTATATGATTTATAACAATAGCACAACCTGAAAATTTCAATGAAATTCTGTATATTTGTAGATTACAGTGAAACGACTATGGTTTTGAAACTCATTTATACCACTTTGTTCGTTTTTTGTATACGAATAAAAAAGTATTTTCGTATATTATTGATTGCTGATATCACGAATGAGCCATTATTCACTAGACAATTACAAGATTATGTACAACCTTTGAAATATTGAGTTTGAACACTCTGTTTCCATAATCATACATACCTTGATTTGTTTTACCCTCAAAAATGTTATGTAGAATTATGATCACGTAATGATGATTCTTGCTGTACCTATATGACATTGTTTTCATGTTTTACTATGTTCACTAAATTTGGAAAAATTATTGTTATTCTTGTTTCTGTACACTTTTTGATGGATATCCCTTCAAATTGATTCGGTGTTGAAAATTCTAACTTCGAATTGACATGGAAGGAAAATGAAAATTATATTCCGAAATGGCAATTTGAAAAGAAATTGACGTATACAAGGTTTCCGACAATTTTTTGAATTATTTCATAGAAGGCATCCGTTACTTCTAAATAAATCATCTTCTCAAGAATTTAGAACAATATTTGAAAGGAAAAAAATTAATACACCTGATATATAAACATATATATTACAAACAAACAATATATAGTAGATTTAATGATATATCATTGTATTATCAAATTGAAAACCACCTGTTCCTTGAAGAGGAAACCACGTGCATGATTCAAAAAGACATATGACATGTAATCCAATCCCGCATGCGCTGTATCAGCCAATTACGGGGCTCAAAATCGAATTGACATTCGACATCAACAAAATTGTTTGATCTGTGACATAAAATCTTAACCCTGTTGCCAAATGATTTTGGGCAATGTCTGGCTGTAGACATCCTGAAGTCTGCCAATAATAATATCAAAATTGCAAACAAAAATGTTTTAACAATTGATAAGATTTTTTCAAAATCAAAAGATAAAATTTCCTATAACAACTGTTCGGATGTAGTTTACTGTATACCAAGTATGAACTGTGACGAAGAATATATAGGACAGACATCTAGATTATTGAAAGATCGGATCACAGCACACCATATTGACAGAAGGTTACACCCGGAAAGATGTGCTTTGAGTGAACATGTCTCTAAACAAGGGCAATGTATGGATTATAATTCAATTAAAATTTTATCAATCATATCAGAAGTGTTCCACTGTCTTAGCATACTTGATTAGCTGATAACGCTATATGTTGTAAATACGCCGCAAATTATGATTGTCACCTTTCCAATGTTCAGATCGATACATCTCAAACTAGATTTATTAAAATCACTTTCATTTTGAGAACGGCGCCCTTATGACATGAACTGTAAAATGCTTTCCTTATCAAATGAACTTCACAATGCTGTTGTTGCAAATCAATATAATCTGAAGTGACTTCATATTTACATATCGTCATTTCGCACCACTCTGACAACATCTGACGATGTTTCTGCAGTATGCTTGTACTTTTTCGTCAAACATTTTCTTTTGAGTCCTTTTGTTGAATTGTTGACCATTGCTTTTATATTGATGCTCAATGAAAATATCCAACAGAGCAAAGGTACAACAAATATGTATACATTCAACGTTGAGTAACAATTACAGTAATAAAACCGAGCAATTGTTACACTTTCATATTTCTATTGTACCATTAACCGTTTACAAATGCCATTTTCCTCTTTGAATTTCAGGTTGCCTGGATAAAGTCTGACACGAAAGCTATTTTGGCAATACACACTCATATGGTGGCTCAGAATCCTCGTCTTTCAGTAACACACAATGGACACAACACGTGGAAACTACACGTATCTGATGTACAAAAGAACGATTCAGGCACGTATATGTGTCAGATAAACACCGACCCCATGCGAAGTCAGGTAAATGATATAAAAGAACATTTATATGTGACTGAAAAGTGAAATATATAAGGGAAGATACTGAAGTAATGTCTTTCATGAATATCTTGCTTTACTTGTAACAACAATAAACTGGGGCAGTTAAATGTTTTGGAAGAGGCGTAAATCAGTGGGATATGAAAAAAATATACATTCACTGCTATTTACAATCATCAGGAATTATACCCGTTTCACAACGAACCGATGATTAGTACTGACGATCCATTGAATAAATTTGTTCCGTTCCTCATAATGTGTACAGTCAGTTACCATCATGTATTCGAGAGTTATATAGCATCGCGTCGTTGCGCTTTTCTGCATGCAAAACTAATAGAAAAGCGAAAAAGAAACGAGGTATTTGGGTTTGTACATCCTCTCTTCCTAAGGAGGTCAATTGAAGGTGCCTTTGTTCCCTAAATTCAAATTTGCGAGAAGACCTACGCAACTTTCTCATTTTCTTTCAGATGTTTTTTCTTCATACGGGGAAATGCACCGCAAACTTGAAACGTGAAGTTTCCAGACTCTATGACATCTTAATTTCTTCAGAGTACCTTCACCTTTTGCGCGATCAGTACGGTTTCTATTACTTTGCTGTTATTTAGAGGAAATATTCTCATACATAATACACAAACCAACAAGGAGAACAGCAAAAAAATCCAATTCAAAAACGTAACCGGTTATACGTCATTAGTCATGGGCTCGACTGACGCCCGCGTATTTTTGAACAGTCAACTGATAATACGTGAACATGTGAACGACATATTTGGAACAGTGGTCAGCATTGATCATCGTAGTTCTTCTATGAAACGGGTCTAATTTTAGAAAAATGTTGTTGATCCATGAAAGGTATTTTAATTTTTTTTTGCAATTGTTATATTGATATTTATTTTTACTACATTGTTCTTTCAGTATTTTGACGTATTAACCAAATGAAAATAAATCACTAAACATACAACACCTACGAATCGATGTTGTTCAATTAGTTCCACGAATTGAGTGAAACATTATTATTTCATTTTCATATTCAAAAGAGGGCGTTCAGTAGTTACGTGAGGTGATTTTTTCAATAACCCACTGCTCTTGCTTGATATATCGTGAGATTTTGCTCTGCTCCCCACTTCCTAATCCCACGTGAGATCAGTGTTAGTGTTAATGAAATAATCTGTTGAGAAACGTAATATGGTCAATTATTTCAATTTATAACTATTTGTGCATTCCATTAGTTTCGACTTCCATTATCTAATATGTTATGAATATATTTGAACTCCCTGAGAGAATCAATAAAATAAAAAAGAATAGCTGAAAATAACAATTATGTTGAGCATAAAACCCTGAAATGAAATTACAATGAAATAAATAAAAGCAAGCATCGAAAATTGAAAAATTAAACGGATGAAAATATGAAATTAAAAAATTGAAAATTGAAAAATTTCAAGACAAGTTACATCAAGACGTTTTGATTGTTAGTATCCACAATCGTCTTCTGGTGATAAATTGACTTATTCCTTCGAATAATGACTATTTACCTATAGGTCATTCGAGTGCTATTACCTATCCCCTCTTCCCTCTCTTCCCTTCACCGGTTTAGCGGGAGCTGACCGTTTGGCGGGAGTTGGCCGTTGATTATGGGTTTCAATATGTTGCGTATCTCTACGCTAGCTTGGCTAAATGCGTTGTTAGACAACATAAATGCGTCTTCATTGGAATTGTCTCCTAAACCAGTGTTCCTCCTTGTGAATGATTTCAGCTTGGGACTACTTAATGTTATGTTGATGAGTCCAAACATGTTGTGACTATTCCCGATTTGCTGGTTTCTTCCCGCTGTGTGTGTTCACAATAATGTGGACTTTCAATGGCCTCTTTAGTTTCACTGATGTAGGATTTCCACACTCGCAGGATATCCGGTAAATGCAATTCTCGGAATCGTAGTCCGCGTTTGGTGGCCTGGTTTTCGTGAAGCTGCTACGGGTAGTGTTTCCGAATCTGAAGCAGTTTCTGATGTTATACATGGACCAAATTCTTCTTATTCTTGTCGACAATCCTCTGATGCAGTGAAGTGCAAGTACTGATTGTGACGGCTACTCTTCCTTGTGAGGATCTTGCTGTCTTTCAGCCACAGTCTGTTGCATCATCACTCGGAGTAACCATTCCGTTGAAGAGCATTTTTGATGATGCCTTGTTTCTTCTCTAGGCCTTCCTTTGTATTACAGAGCTCGAAATCACGATCTACTAGAGTCTTGATGATTCATCTTTTGTCGATTGAGGATGGTTGGATTCATGGTTCAGATTCTGTCCCGTGTGAGTGGGTTTTCGGTATATATATGTTTCTCATTTAGTGTCGGTCCTCTTCCCCAATACAGTCAACTCCCGTCAAACAATCAGCTCCCGCTTAATTGGTGAAGAGGGGATAGGTGAAAGCACTCGAATGACCTATAAATGGTCATCTCTGGGAGGAATAAGTCCAGTCATCACCCGAAGACGATTGTAGATACTAATAATCGAGCCGCCGTGAAGTAACTTGGCTTGAAATTTCTCAATTTTTAAATTTCAATTTTTAATTTCTTGTTAATTATTCAATTTCAACTATTAACTTCAATTATTGATTTTTTTCGTTCTTTCAGAGATTTCAAATCATTTCATATGATATTAGATAATGGACATCCGAACTAATGAAATTCATCACCATGAAATATTGTCAACCACCTTCAAACAAAGTTACAACTAGTTAAGACCATTTTGGCCTACACTACTCCATCTTTAAATATGAATTTGTGTGAATCTGTAATTGAATGAAAGAAGCAATTGACAGTATCTGTTTGAGGAGATGTGTATATCATACGTTGAATTTCATTTCAGATACGAACTGAAAGAAAAGTGGATTTTACATGAACATTGGATTACATGAGTAAAAAATACTTCTAAAACAACTACTTCCACATGCACATTAAATTATATGAAAATCACTTTTTTCTATTCATTTTGTACCCTTAAACATTCAGTATAGAATTGAATCGTAACTCTTTGACATATTGTTGTACTATATCGTGTAGCGATCCTATGAATGATATCTGATACAATTCCATAACGTTTAAAGTACAAATTGAACGGGAAAAAGTGATTTTTGTATAATTCATTCATTATTCATACGGAAGTGGTTTTACATGATCTACACATCTATGTAGAGACTTTATATAACTGCTTTCTTTTAGAAGTTTCGTACATTTCTTTCCCTAATATTTAAGCTACAGTGTTACTTCGTTGCGTTCGCATAATAACAATGAATAGTATTATCTAGGATTAGCTGTATTTTAGTGAAAGAACATGTTTCACTCAACACAGTTTTTTGCAATTTCAAAATTTTCTTTGCGAAAAAAATTACGTGATATTTTCCAAGAACTCCCCTCGACCTCATGTGAGACTGGATGAGATACTGCTTGACTTCTTTCCCGTGAAATGCCTCCTTTGAGTCGATAGAATATTCTCTGCAGGAGATCCAGAAATCCATCAATAATTGTCATACATCAATAGCACCAATAAAAATTATTAAGGTTTTATAACCAGTGTGATTTAGAAATGAATAAAATCATATCTGTGGTTATCCAAACAAAAACTCAACCAGAGCGATGAAATATGAGTAATGGAAATTAAATAGGATAATGAATTGTTAGTTACAATTGAACTCAAATTGAGAATCATTCGTTATTATGTACTGTACCATTGAATGATTCAAATGATTTTCTGCTTGGCTCCAATCGTTCTAAATATCATCCAGTTTTTTTGCAGATACACTATCATCTTTTTTTTATTTTTACTCAAAATATCTGTTAAGTTGAATTTGGAGGTATGTTTTTTTGAAATGAATGATCGATTGTACAACTCACAAGTGAAAGTGCAACCTATAATTCGTTTGCATTTTCTGAAATATGTTTGATAGATATAAGAAAAAGGCTTTCACTTCATTTTTGTTCGCTTATACACAAAATTGTGTTGTTTAAAAGACTGCGATATTTTTACAGTGAAGTGAGATTTCGCTCACATATCCATGATGTGAATATCCGTCTTAAAAGTCAACTCACAATTACTCGGTTTGAAACTTCTCTTTTCAAGTAATCTTTGTCCTACAATATGGCCAAGGTTTATATTTCTATACCTATGGAAAAGAGAAATCTCATTAACTATAATTGTCACATGGTGGTGCTATAGTTGTCACATGAATATACGCATGTATGTTGTTTTATACTGAATAATATAAATATAATTTTTTTCAAAAAATGTCACACAAAACTATTTTTTTAAAATAAATATCATGAATATTGTTTAAGCAATATGAATCATTTTGTCACGGCTTCAAAAGGTTTCCAATTTCTAATTATATATAAAAATGAACATTAAGAAAAATCTGAGCTGTTTCTGACAAAAAATTTCCTAGGTTTGACTATATTCATGGAAATGAAGATTTACATTATCCGTCCTATCCGTATTTACGATATCCATTCGTTTCAGATGGGTAATTTGGCAGTTGTAATATCCCCAGACATAATAGAAGATGAAGAATCTTCCGACGGAATAGCGGTAGAAGGCGGTACAGTTCGACTCAACTGCAAAGCTTCTGGAGTTCCGGAACCAACAGTTATTTGGAGGAGAGAAGACACCCAGAATATAGTACTGAGGCCGGAGGGTGGCAGAGAGAAACAAGGTAATCATCAATTTTCTTACAATTTTATTGATAATTCCTGAGATTTCACGATGATAATTGTTTGGAATTTTCTTGGAAATGTTTTGATATTTTCAATTTCTACAGCCCGAAAAAAAATTAACGTGTAACTGAGAACTTTACATAAATGTATAGTTTCAAGGTTCAAATCCTCCGCAGGCTACATGAATACCAGTTTACTTTTCACCAAGAAAAATGTTTCACAATCAATTTTGCCTATCGATGTAGAAGCGAAATAATTTGTAAATACTTATATTTATCAGAAACGAAACTATGTAACCATCATCAAAAACCGTTGAAAGGAAAAATAACATAATTTTCCCCTTCAAATATGCCTCGATTTTCTCAATACTTTTAAGCTTGTCACCCACTTGTCCAGATCAGCACATCACAGCGCTGTCCGTCGCCTGATGGCGACGTATAGTAGCATCGCCCACTTGTTCAGCTACAACCAGCATACTGAAGGTGCTGTTTGTTCGATTTCAAGGAAATTTCAGTTGACATCGAGCGGTGACAAAAACATGTCTACCACTAGCAGTTCTAACGAAGAAGACATCATTATAGTGGTCGCATTATATAGAATTTTTTTCTCGTCCATTTTCATAGGTACCGTCTGACATCGTGCTGTCAACTGTCAAAACAAAGAGACATAAACTTCACAGGCACGTTTGAATAAGTTGAGGCTGGCAAGTGCTCGCCGTGGACGCGCTCACTTGGCCAGTCCGTCACAGCACGTACTGTTATTTGCCGGAAAGGATCGGAGAGCTGGAATCCTTTCCGGAGGCGGACGTTCTTGGCTGTGCCGTGCCGAGCTAGTGGGCGGTTGTCCATTCATTTTCATTGTTCCAATCCTATACGTATTTTGACGGGACGAGCCGTGCTGTGCTGTGCCGGATAAGTGGGCGACAAGCTTTAGACTGGCGCACTTTCAGTATATTATGCTCTACTGGGAATGGCATAATATACTGGCAAGGATACTCGCCGCCAATGGAACAAAGGGATGCGGCTGTCCAGCATATCATGACATCGCATGTTTTTCGATTTTTTCGACGAGATACATACTACGACTATACAAGTGAAATAGTGAAAAAATTTTAAAATGTTGAAGTTGTAGTGTTGGCTTGCACTTTGTATTATCGAAGGGATATTTTGAATTTCAATAGACGTACAACTTATTATTCATCAAGGGCTCATGCATAGACGTAATAATATTCAACCAAGTACGGTGCATTTGCAAAGAGCTCCCTTTCGAAAGATATTTGTGTAGACAATAGTTGATTTTTTGTGGTCAACTGGGATACAATTATCGACACATGTCTCCATTACAATTTTCTATTTTTCCTGTCAATTGAATTAATTTAAGAATCAACGATGAAACATTGTCAACCACTTTCGAACAAACTTGTATATGTAAATATAAGCGATCCACCCCGGCTCCGCACAGGTGCAATGCTGATACTGAATATTATAAACGCATGCGATCGCTGCTAATCATAAAGTGCTATAGTGCGAAGCGCGATCTTCGACGCTCTATTTATAGGCACGCGCCGCCGGCCCCACGGCCGGTACCGCCACAACCGCTATGTCCCTGTATTCTAAATCTGTATCTTCGAAAATAATCACTCAAATTACATGCTGTAGAGGGGCATATTGATCGATAATAAATGCACAGTATAGTTAAAGAACTTAATTGAATAAGGATTGATGCTGTATTGCTTGAAATCGCTTCGTGAATAAGCCATTATTTCTAGATCATAAAAATGTTTATTGTGGATTATCTCTGAGAGACTTTTTTGTAATTATTTTTTAGGTGTACAATACTGTAGTACATTTTTTATCTATCTCGTAGGGTTCAGCCAGCGTTTGCAATGTGAGCGCAAAAAATGTGTTTATTTACGACATCAAATTAGAAACCTCTAAAATTTTCAGTGTTTCTCTATTTCAGGCGTTATCACAACTATCGCACGAGGAAATAAATTCAAAAGGCATATAACAAACCGATGCGACACACGTGATAAAGAAAAGTTAATATTGTGTTAGTTTTGTTTTACGTAGTGAATCATTTGGAAGGTTGAAGTCGCATTTTTGTTTTATGTTGGCCTTTTTGTTTGGGAGAATTTTATTCAATCCTTATTATTTGTTACTATATAGTGTACTCGACTTCGCTCAGGGAGTTCAAGTTTGATTTTTTCGTGGTTGGATTGATTAGATATACCCCTACCAATGGGTACCCCCACCCTTATAAAAATATTAGAATGGTACACACTGTTCCAGAACATTCAACAGGATTGGTGAGTGCTCTGGAATGAATCCAGAGTATTACTGGGAAATCCAAAACATTCCAGAGTGTTCTGGTTCATTCTAGAATTTTGTGGAAAACTCTCGTGAAATTTTTCATATTCTGGATTGGTCTGGATATGTCTGGGAAAAATCTAGCATATCTTTGGAAGCTTGCCTTTAAGGTGAAAGAGGGAACCTTTTTAATGAACAAGCTATGATAGGAAATATTGTAAGCATATGTGTTCTGCTATGTGTGCGGAACTGAGTCATGACGCTACTAAGAATATAATTTGTAAGTATGTACCATCATGGCTATTGTAATTCCCAGAGTTCGTCAATACGGAATCGTTTGAATATTAGGATAACATCTGTTCCACCTTACCTTCACATGCTCGTTGTTCTAGAGATTCCATTCACAACATCTGAAAACAAAAAAATTAAAGATGTTTGAATTGAGAAAACAGAGGCATAAGGCAAATGGTTTTGATTAAAATCAGTACATATTTTACAATTTCAAGCACTTCCGACCCAGACAGAATTTAAAATAATGACTGAATGAGAAAATGAGATATAAATTTAATAACATAAGTACGTGTTTGCTTTGAGTTTACATTTTCTGCGATCATTCAATATAGCGAATATAATAAACTGCATAATAAAATATCTCTCAATTTGTTTCTTAGGATTATTTCTTCTATACTCGCATTCATTCTGAGAAATATTCATTTTCTGTAATCATGTGAAGAGTTGTTTGATTTATTCAAATACAATGGATTTCTTTCATTTTTTATCACAGACCGCCTCTTCTGGGAATGAGATTTGTCAGAGCTGCATACATGTAACTGATAAATCAAAAATGAAGTCGTATTTCTTATAAATGATCTATTTGTAAATTGTAAAGCGGTTTCGACTTTTACGCCATCATCAGTGCGATATCTGCCAGTAAGTAATGGTCGTGAAATTTGTTTGAGGTTGAACTTTAAATTCTTTTATGAATAACTTACTCGTCAAGTATATACAAGAAAATCCTGTAGAATCAAATCCTCAGTACAACACTACTCTTGAGTAGACGTGAACGTGAACATTACAATAAATACCCTGTTGCGTTTAACATATTAATATTCTGTTTAAAAATTATGAAACTATTTTCAGCGTGCTCAATAACGAGTACGAGGAGAAAAAGGAAATGAAAATTTGACAAAGACATAATATCACCATCAACTATAGAACATAGTCAGTTTGACAAATGTAGTAACCACAATACGTAATACGTTGGGAAAGTTGATTAAAAATAATAAAGACAAAACATTCAAATTCGAGAAATCAGTAATATATAAATTGAAGTGTGGAACGTGTCCTGAGGTATATATTGGTCAAACTGGCAGAACATTCAGGAATCGAATCGAGGAACATCATACTAGCTATGTAAATAGGAAAACAAATTTGACATATTCAAATCATCTTCTAGAAGAAAATCATATCTTCAACGAAGAGTTTCAAATTGTGCATATAGAAAATAAAGGTTTGAAACTGAATGGAAAGCAATGGAAATTAATAAACTTGAAAATTCAAACATTCCGATGAATAACCAACTGTATTTGAATAGATCACCATTATTGAACTTGTTTTCTTAAAAAGCGAGAAAGAATTATAATTGACGTAGATGTGAGGTAATATGCTTCAGGAGATCATAATTGAAGAGGTACCTTAGGTAGAGATTTAGGTCATTTTTTGGCGGTAGTCTCAATTATGATTACCTGTAGTATAGAAATATTAGTGTGAGAAACAACTTGAAGTATTCAAATCACTTGATGAAGCTACTGTGCTAGCGAAACATGTGATATATTTTCCAAATAAAGTTTGTGGAGATCAAATCGTGAGGTGTAGTTTTTGAAAGAACATTCAAATGAAATATTTTCCATATCAACCATATTAAGTCATCCGTACATTTTTGAATCACCATATAATGTACTGGTTCACCAATAAGTTTCCAAAAATATCAAGTTAATATTACGACAAAAACGAACGTTCTTGAATATATTGTTTTAAATGAAAACTATCAGTTCAACCCAATTTAAAGCAGAAATCCTAAGTGAATATTGATGAAATCATTCCTGGGACACTCACAAATATCATAATTAACAATATCTGCGAAGAAAAAAAAATTGAAAATCTGAAAGGCGACAAAAAAAATAGAGATAAACAGATTAGTGTTTGGTTAATGTTTTTTAAAATAAATTCAACAATTACTGACCATGCTAAGTTCAAACGACAATAATTTGGCAAGTGGACAACAAACTCATCAACATAGGAGGCTGGATTTGATTGGGTCCTATAGTATTTTTGACATGATACTCTCATAACCAATCCGCAATCCTCAATAGAAAAATATAGTAAACTCCCGAAAAAGAGAAGGAAGCAACTAAGTTCAAAACAAACTCGTTGAAAAGAAGTAGATGTAAAAGTTTCTACGGCTGAGAATGAATGTGATACGTGTATGCATATTTTATGTACTGTCATCGTGACATGATACTGTTTCATGTATAACGTTGCATGTCGTACCTGTGGAAGCAATTTGTTTGAATTCTGTAACGAATGTTTCAAGTACAAACTGAATGGATTCATTATGCGATTCATTATCCCTATGGAAGTATTTGTTTCGAAGTTGTTTTCCCATGAAATTCAATATTCATGTGAAAGTAGTTGTTTCGGAGGGGCAATTTCTTCCAGTTTGTATCTGAGAAAAAATTGTATACGTGCTCTACACATTTTTGTTTGGAGTTCATTTTGAACTTAGTTGCTTTATTCTTTTCTTCGGAAGAAGCGTATATTTTTAAGAAATATTAATTTTTGTAAAGAAGTTTTTGGTCTTCTACTTCTCCATCTTGATACACAAAATGTGGGAATCTTCCACAGAAAGGAAGAAGCAATCAATTTCAAAAAGTATATACAAAGATGT